AGTAACCCCCAAAATTTACAGGGAAAGGTACCTATTTGTACCTATATATTTCACCAAAGAACTGAGATACATGGAGTTTAATGAATTGTTTGAGATTTTACAATGCAACTCGGCGGAATGCATTTGTAAACTAAACGGCCTAAATAGCTAGTTTTGGTATTCGGAGAGAAATTTCTTAGTAAATTACGCATCGCTCCTTGTTTAGCGAACGCTGCTGACTATCCTTCCCTCTCCGTCTCACTCGCGAGTACCGACTCGGCGAGGTCGGTAGGTTTTTACTTAAATGACCGTAACTTTTTTATTATGAAAAATTCACGGTAATGTTATAGAAAATAAAATAATCACAATGTTTTGGAGCATCGAATGAGCTATAAATATTGGAAATCGTTATCGTGAAATAAAAAGTTATGAGAGTTCAAAGTGCGCACTTTTCATCTGCTTCACGAATTTTGGAAGTTGACGGTCATTTTTCTAAAAACTGTGCATAACAAGGTAGGTAAATATGAGTGCTTTAGATTCTGCTATAAATGTACTTTCATTTTACAAAAGGAATTATTGATGTATATCGCTTAGTTGCTGAGAAAATAAATACTTTCGGTGGTCTACTCGCGCGCGCGAAAATGAGTAAATTTCAACTTTAGCGGCCTATAACTTTTGTCAGGACCACGGGAAAATGTCGTAAGGCGAGATTCTGAAGGTTCAAACATTTCTGAACAAAATGGTGTGGGTCCCAATTCTTTCTACTCCGAAAAAAAAAACTACCTCAAATAAGCGAGTTAGCGCCGGCTCTCCGCTGCACTATTAAGCAAATGCAATGAAATCATGGATTCCATTTTGCTACGCCCGACCAACAAAGAGAATAAATTGAATATGTGCCTCGCAGGAGACAAGAGGTAAAGTAGGAAATCGCGAAAAAAACATACATCTCGTTTATACCTAAATCCCCCTTAACTCGTAAGCTGAAAAAATGTGTCGCAAGAACCTGAAATTTTATTAAGTGAGGTAGTTCAGGAAATTGCGTGCGCCCCAGGGAGGTATCCCGAAGCTAAACTTCGCTAAATTTATAAATATTGCCAGTTTAAAGCTCCCAAAAGCTATCAATCAGGCAACTTGGAGATAACTTAACATTTTTCGAACCAATAAAAATGAAATAAAAAATTCCATATTTATCGATAACCTCGCGCTATTGAATTTTTCTCGCCGGTGTTTTCGCATAAACGCATTTCCCACACATCTAATAATAAAACGCACGTTAAACGCGTATGTTATAAATAATTTTTTCACGGTTCCCTGCAAACGCAAATTATCTTTTTACTGTTAGCGATGGGCGTGTATATTAATAAGTAACCTCGATTGAAATACCTGAAACGAGAAATGCGTGCTTTTCAGATCATATCTGCATGCAAGTTGCGTTAAATTACAGAAAACTGTGTGGCGTATTGATTTACGGATAGTTTATTTAAAATTTTTGCGAAAGGCACGTCAACCGATTTTCGTAATCTCTCCAATTGGCCAAGCGACCGATCTATCATAACGTTTTAAAATCGACCTGGGGCATAAATCAAAATACCGTTTGAAAGCCAGTTATTATTTTGACACGATCGGTGTAAGCAAAATTATATACGAGTTACCACAAATTTCAAATCTACAGTTCTTTGAATTATGAATTACCACAAAGAATAGTTTTACATAAGTAATCAGACACTTCACTAACGCCCACCACAAATTTAATGGCCCCAAAGTCATTACTATTTTTTCTAAACAAAAATAAAAGCTAACTACAATAATTAAACTAATAACAAAACGTTTCGGTTTTTTGTTTGTTCCTTGTGGTAACCTGACTTGTCTGCTGCCATTCTTTAGGGACCATATTTCTTGAATTAATTCATGTAGGTCCTTTATTAGCCATTCTGATGCGTATTGTAGCAATTTACCCTTGGCATTTTCCCCCCTTTTCAGTCTTTCTAATATCTCCATCATTTCTTCCATCGTGGGGGATGGCGGGAGTGGCCAGTAATCGGTCTCCTCCATTACGTGGACCTCTGTTTCTTGTTCCTCCCTTAGGAGCTTCTTCCATGCTATCATTGGTACACATTTTTTGGTTCCCCTTGTTTCCTCCTGCTGTTTCTGTTGTGTGGTTACACATTTGCGCATTCCTCCCCATTGGGCTAAGCTTAGCGACTCGGCGAATTCCTTGAACGCATGTTGTTCAAAAGCTCTCCCGCTTTGCGCCCTTTCTTTTCCCCCACATTTTGTGGTCCGATCCTACTGTTCTGATCCATACTCCTACTGTGGTTCTTGGATTTGATCCTTGTCTTGTTCGTGCTTGAGCATTTTGCCTATCCTTTGTTCCTCACCTTCCCTTCCAATGCCTCGGTGTTTCCTGATTACGATTGCCGGTTCTCTCCTTCTTCCCTCCTATCCACCAGTCGTAGTTCCTTGTCGCGGCCATCCCACTTGTTAGTCTGGTTTCCTGTAGGCTGGCTACGTCAATTCCCTGTTTTCTTAAATCGTCGTCAATTAGTTCCCTTTTCTTTGGGTTGTTTGCCCCTTGTACGTTCCAGGTGACTACCCTCATACTGTTGCCTCTTTCTCCACCCTTCTCTCGCTTCCTCGTATTCTCCAGCACCCTTGTTGTCCAGAGTTCCTCCTCTTCCTCTGCCTCCCTTATCATGTTTACTGTCCTCGCCACGCTGTCGTAGTGATTTCGGACATTGTTACTTCCTAGTCTGTATGCTATGTAATAGTGACCTGTCCCCGTTATTGCTCGCGGTTCTATGTAAATCTTTTTTTAATTTTTTTTAAATCAATTGATTCTTTTTTGAATATAATCAAATAAATACATCTACTATGAAACATTAAAAAAATAGCTTACATGGTGTTTTTTTGGTAGGCCCAAAGTTGCAAAACTTCATATTAAAAAATCTCACTTTTTTAAATGGAACACCTTATATATTTTTCTGGCATCTTTTAGCTCCTTCAAAAACCTTCAACTTTTGATAATAATGTCCTATACCTATCTCTGATAGTTTTCGAAATATCTTGGTTTTCCTGGTTTTTAAATAAGTTATATGTAATTTACATAATAGTGAGGAGGCCATGCAAAAAAGGGCAATTTTTATCTATCTCGTCCAAAACGAAAATCATATCGATTAATTTATTTTTCAAACAATTTATTTTAAGTCCAAAAACTGGAGAATAAGTAAAAACAATTGACTACAAAGCAAATTTCATTTAACTCCTAATGTCATCCAGTCAGTGATATTAGTTTCATTTTTTTTCATATTCACCTCGTTATTATGTAAATTAGAACTTATTTCAGATTAAAATATAAAAACTAGGAAAACCAAGATATTTGTTTATGTTTTTACTATCAAATTTATTCTCCAGTTTTTAAACTTAAATGAATTATTCGAAAAATGAATTAATAAATATGATTTTAGCTTTGGCCGAGGTAGATAAAAATTGCCTTTGTTTTGCATGCCCACCTCCTTATTATGTAAATTACATATAACTTATTTAAGATTAGAATATAAAATCCAGGAAAACCAAGATATATTGAAAAATATCAGAGATAGGTATATGACATTATCAAAAGTTGAAGGTTTTTGGAAGAGCTAAAAGATGACTGAAAAATATATAGGGTGTTCCATTCAAAAAAGTGAGATTTTTTAATATGAAGTTTTGTAACTTTGGACCTACCAAAAAAAACACCCTGTAAGATATTTTTTAATGTTTCATAGTAGATGTTTTTATTTGAATTTTACTTAACCCAGGATATAAGATATAAAACCTGGAATCAAAATTTAAGTAATAATTTTGACAATATACTGACGCAATTTTTTTACAAATCGAATTATCTTTAAAACTACTAGTTTTTCGGATATTAACCATATAATAAAAAATACGTACAATTTGACTCACCCTGTACATCAACCACCACTGCGCGGTTTCCTACATACCTATTCTGTTCTATCGATTGAAGATACTATGTAAACATACCTAAATCAGATGTAATACACCGATTACGTGCGTGCAAACGTAGGAAAATCCTACTATACAGGGTGTTTTTTGCGGGAGCTTAAGTTAATCGCTTCTGGGAAAAAGAACTAGGTAGGTATTTGAAAATTAAAAGTTGCTCCAATGTAAAATATTTTCAAAATGGTGACACTGTCGGAAATACCGGAAGTAGCTATAGTAACCTCGTTATTTTAAATGGCAACCCCTATGTTTTATTGCATTTTTAAATTCTACGTGAACTTTCGGGCATCCGTGGAGTTTAAAATTACAATTATGTCATATAAATGTCATCTATAACTGGCAGCGTGTAATGTATCCGTGCATAAAAACTATTTCTGCAAGGATGTCCGGTTGCTTATTTACCTTCCACGTAAAAATTAGAAAAACAAATGACTTTTTTCCTGACCCCTTCATATTTGTCGTAAAATTTGCTTATTTTTTGCGGTGAAAATGCTCATATTCGATATCTTAAACCTTTGCGTTTACTTGTTGAAATGTAAATTCCTCGCTTTATTTGCATGGAGATAGAAGTTAATCCCTCCGGAGAAACAGACACATCAAACATGGGGTTTTAGGACTGTTTTATGTTTGTTCCCGTTCATCAATACGAAAGTCATTGTTATACTTTTTGTTTACTTATCTAAGAGTATGCCGATCAAATTCCCCTGAAGGTTGTAGCGTCTAACTGCCACGATATAATGTAATGTAAGAGAATTGTTATGCGGCCCGCGTTTTCCTTTGGAAAAACTTGTAAATAGTTCATCAAAGTGATAGCTGATAACTTTAAGTGTTGCTTCCAAAGTTGTAATCGTCTTGTGCTGAAGTCAATTTTATTCTCATCAGGTTTTGTATGCTTCATCGGCGCACTACCTTTACCTTGATTGATTCCAAATTTACAAATTTGCGACAGTTTTCCTGATAAAACTGTAACCAAGTGTCAAACAAACGAGCATTTACACTAAAAAATGATTGCAACTTACGTATTGGAAGTAATCTGCTAAGTAACGTACCTGTAACAAAAATGTGAATTAATATTCAATCATTTTGAAAATATTCATATCAAATTCAATGTAATTTACAACTTACAACCATAGTGTAAATGTTACAACTTAAAAATACGTGCGACTTTTTTGTTACGTAATTGACTTCACGTGTCGTGATGTCATCTTTCATATTACACTTTTATCGAATGCGATTTCTGTCAATTTGTTGTAGTTTACATTATTGTTATAAAGTTCATTTCGTAGCTCATTATTCTGCCACGAGAGGTCACGCATAATATCTTTCTGGATCGATTTCCCTTTCCTAAGACGTGTTATTATTACCAATTTCTATTTCACAATCTGGCCGTCAACCTAAAGGACCTTCCTTTTAAATAATTTTGCGCCGCTACGAAATTTACATGGGATTTCAACGTATAAAGCGCTGAACCTCTCTTTTCGAGTTTTAGAACTAGTCTCCCCGCACTGTACAAATTATCGCCCTTTGACCTAATGTAATTGCATGATAAAAATAGAACGTTGACGATACCATGAATTTTTATATACATTGTAGAGCGTAAAATGTGGTCAATGCCTTTCCACACGCTATTGAGGTATGACATACTCCTTTATAAAAAAAACAGTGGCGGGGGTCTAAACGTTTTGGAGGGAACGTACCACGGGGCAGTCTAGTGGAGATGGAATACGCTCACGAGAAGAAGTTTCATGTGTTTACTAAGGAGTAAATGTTTTGAGAGACGAAAATAACTTCCAAAATGGTGCGAACACTATATTTTCAGGAGAAAACGTAGCACCCGGGTGGTTTGAAACACTCCCCAACAGCATATCCCCAGCTTTCAGGAAAAGAAAATTCCATACAGTCCATGGTTTAGAAGTACTTATGTGCCTCCGAAGGGTAAACACAGGTGAAATTTAGTGTACATATGTTGGGGAAATCCATTAAATGTTGATGAAAAATAAAAACAATATAAATATTTATGGTCAATTTTTATGCATATAATAATGAACGAATAAAAATCGTTGAAAACATTGACCTTTAAAGTTGTTTACAACCTGACAAATAATTTCAAATTCTTAATTAATGGTTTTAAAAATAGTTTCAATAGCAATACACTTTGTATATTTCCAAAAATTAAGCAACAAAAATAAGTATTTTAAATTAATTAACAAAGTTTGACGGGACGTTCTACTTTCTATGGTGGCCCCATTTTCGGATTTACAAATCGAAGACATAATAACAATCGCATAAAATATATTACTCATATTCCTTGCCGTATTTACCTTTTTTGTACTTAGTTCTCAACAGAAGCCCGAGTCAAAAGTTATGGGGTTCAATTTGGTCACTACGTTAATTAGCTTCTATATGCGTGTTCAAGTTTTGCGTTGACAAGTCATTATAATGGGTTTTGGTGGTCGTAAAAGATGGAAGGGGAGGCAGGAAAGTATAGTTTCCTTAGTTTGCGTCGTAACTAAGTATGTTTACATAGCATCATGCAGTCAATGGAAGAGAATACGTCTGTAGGCAGCCATACAGACAGTACCGCATTGTGGGTAGGATAGGAAATGTTTCGATAGTTATTTGTAACAGTTGTCTATGTCGCGATCTTTTACTAACAAGGTGGACATTGTTATTTCGACGTAAAGGAAAATTCTGTAAAAAAAAATCATTTTAATTGTTTTTTTCGTAATAACAACGCCCGCAAAGCAGCAGAAGTCGAGAAGAGATTGCAAACTACAATCTTGATTTATTTATTTGTTTATTTATTTATTTATTATCTCTCTCTTGTTCTGGGCCCTCAACAGGCTTGCGCCCAATTACAGAGTGACCCGCATAATGCTTTTTTTTCGAGGTGCCTCTGCAGAAGGTCTTAAGTTGTTCTATACTACTCCGAATTTACCTTACGAATTAGGAAAACTGCAGGAAAACCTAATTCGGAGTAGCCGGCAGAATGCACGAAACTCGTCGAAGGTAATTCCCATCTCTGCCACAGATGAAAATTCACCTCAACCCAGGTTCGAACACCCGACCTCCGGATTTATAGTCCAACGCTCTACCACTGAACCATAAAGCCGGTAACCCATACTGGCGAGTAGAGGCACAGTTGCTTTCATGTCAAAACGACGGACGATTCGCGACACTTTCTAATTTGGATAGCAGTTGATGTTAAAACTGGCGGTTCTTTTTATACACAACTGGAAAACAAATTGAATAATTTTGTACGTAAGAAAAAACATATAATGAAATATATTACGCGCAGAACCAGGCGATTTCATATTAAATTAACAACAAAAGCAAAAGAACATTCACAAAAGATTTCAAGTTGTGTAACAATAAAAATCAGGTCACGAATTCCAAGATTCTAAAAACGTTAAAAACATCAACGTACATCGTTCCAGCAGGTTATTGAGCATCGCAAGGGCGATAAACTTTCGCCTAACTTGTTCACTGATCTTCCTGTTTTCGTCCTGATAAAAATCGAACCGAAGACGCGTTCCTCCCATTCATTCCTCCTCAAAGACTATGACATTTTTCAAATTTATAATGCTAAATTTAAAAGTGCCCTGGAAAAACTAGAATCAAATGGGCCCACCTCAAAACTCTGGGTGCAGTAGTTTCAAATGACCGCGCTACCTCACCACAGTTAGAAAAATGTTACCCTTTTTCCGTCTTTTTTTTACGCTCTACCTACAAGACATGGAAAGTTTACAAGGGAGGATGATAAGGTCAATGAAGAGCCAGGGAGGTGTTCATGCTCAATATATCCGAGACCCTGGAGGCATTTTGGGAAATTTCGTGTACCACTGGCAGTACTTTGATATCCGCGCTTAATTTCCACTAACAAACAAATTGCTATCTATCAATAGTGGCATCGCTGGGGCCCCTGAGATTAATTGCCATATGGCTAGAGAAATGGGAATAGAGTCGATTCTTTCCTCCGACAAACCGTTTTCGAGATATTCGCTCGCTCTTTGTTTCGAAATCAACAATGGATACATTTCTTCGAGGCGTACTAATCGCCCTTTGTGAGTACCCTTTTCTGACAATCTGTTCTGGAGATATAAGGGAATATATCCGGTCACGATAAGAGGCCGAGGAGAAGGACTATGGTTGGTAGAAATTAATTCATTTCGTTGAGTTTTCATTGGAATACCATAAAGGATAAAACCAGTTCTAGCCCCCCCCCCCTTCTCCAACCAAGCAAAAAGGGCGGTAGTTGGTAGAAAACGGTTCCTTTCGTTGAGACCTTTAATTAGAATACCATGGGAAAAAATTAATTTGACGGCTCAAAATGTCGATTTTTTTGCGATAACTCAAAAACTACTCAGGCGATTTGGATCAAATTTATACAGCAGACGCGTCTGACGAGTGGCGTCCTCTACCAGTTGACCTAATATGTGCCTGTGTACTACATTCACGGTTATCATTAATCTAGGGAAATGTAACAACGCTAAATAATATAATTATAAAATCAAAAAAATTCTGCATCGGCCGGGAATCGAACCCGGGCGGTCCTTCTCTACAAATCATATTCCACTGACATTTGGCATAGTGGCCATATGAACCTGTACTGTAAAGTCAAGGTGAGACGGACTATAGTGTAAAATATGACTGGCCTAATAATATCTACACAAATATTAATTTAATATAATATCATCTTTGCACAGTTAAGATAAATGCCTATTTAGATTCAGCCATTCAACGTGTTTTAACTTACTGTGTCGTAGATGGAGTTTTTCTGCTTGTGTGAAACCATCAACATCGCTAACGTGTTTCTTACAATGCCTTGCTTTTTTAGGACTTTCTCGTTCAAAATAGGAATAAGATTAGAAATAAGTTGTTTACTTTTTCTTGGTAAACCCGATGGCACTTTTGGGTTGATGCAGAATATCGCAGTGAGATTTGTGATAGTTGTGCTTTTACAATTGTTCGTTATGAAACTAACGGATTTTTTGTCGACTAATATAGCCAAACGCGATAATACAGAGTGGCCCAACGAGAAGTATACAGAGGGCTTTTAGGGTATTAAATTTAGAAATTTCGAAAAATCCTCGAACACGTCAATTTTGTATTCGAGGGGGACTTTTGGAATACAAATCACGAACCCAAGTCTTCACCCCTCTACGTAGGGAGCTTAACCCCTAAAATTTTAAATGGAATCCTATGGCACATGGCACATTATTTGAAAGTCAATTTAATCGTGATTACTAATCTGCTTTGCTTTTTAAATTCTATTGATTCATTTCGGAGATATTCGCATTTGAAATGATTTTTTTCCCCTGACTTAAGTCCTTTAGATTACTTCTTGTGGAGATATTTAAAGAATAAAGTTTATACTACTCCGCCCGGAACATTACAAGGGTTGCGAGCACGTATAACCATAGTGTAAGAATAGAATAGACTATGGTATAACTCAACAATTTCGAGCGATTACCCCTGAAATCTTGCAACATGTACGGCAGCGTTTTGAAGCAAATCTTTATTATTGCATGGAAGCAGGCGGAAGGCAATTCGAGCATTTATTGAAATAAATGTTGTCTGTTTAAAGTTATTTGTTATTTTTTGCACAATTTAAACCTTGTATTAAAAATGTTAATACAAGGTGACTTAGATCGCATTTGTTTTGGTTTTTTTTTAGAAAAAACCATTTCAAATGCGAATATCTCCGAAACGAATCAATAGAATTTAAAAAGCAAAGCAGATTAGTAATCACGATTAAATTGGCTTTCAAATAATGTGCCATTTGCCATAGGATTCCATTTAAAATTTTAGGGGTTAAGCTCTCTACGTAGAGGGGTGAAGACTTGGGTTTGTGATTTATATTCCAAAAGTTGCCCCCCTCGAATACAAAGTTGACGTGTTCGAGGATTTTTCGAAATTTCTAAATTTAATACCCTAAAAGCCCTCTGTATACTTCTCGTTGGGCCACTCTGTATAATGAAGACGGTAGCAAACAGCTATCAAATTTTACGTTTCGGAATGTAAACGTAAACTACCACAATTTCGATTGACATGTAACCTGAAAACAAAAGAGGTTTATTGTGGTTTAATTGATTTTTTTAATACGTTGGCATTACAATATTCCCCAGAAC